ATAAGGAAATAGGAAGGTGAGAGGAGCTAGCAGGACTCCCTATCTAAATTCAGTAGAGGTGGTCAGGAGCCCCTGGTGGCCTCGTGGGCTACCCAGTGAGCTGCTGATCACAAGGTCAGTGGTTTGGACCCATGGTTGGTCCTGGAGAAAGGTGATGCTGGCTCTCCCGTGAAGATGCGAAGTCTCAGGACTCCAGGGGGCAGTTCCACTCCCAGGGCCACGCTGAGCCGGAAGCGACTCCATGGCAGTGGGCTTGGTTTTGGCCAGAGAGGGGGTTTGGAAACCCTCTTGGTATGCCATCCTTTGCTCATTTTTATTTTTTCTGAAGAGTATGTAAGTCCACAGTAGAAGGGATCGCACTGCTGTGGTACATTGAAGACTTAGAATTTGACAGGCTACATAAATTTATTCTATAAAATGTTCCACAGGTTTTTACTTGTGATGTTTTACATACTATATCCACATTTTCCCGACTTGGATTGTGATATTATATCCAAATGGAGGGCCAGCACGTGTAAATGATATGGAACAAAGTCTATATTAAAGACACGAAAGACAGATCATAACAAACTGAAATGATTTCACCTAAAGAGAAAAAACCCTAAAATCACTCAGGGTAGCTTTGAGGGTACAAAGAGGTTTCACATCACCCCAAGAGCAGCCTTCCCGTCTTCCCTGGTGATGAGCAGGCAGCAGGAGCTAGAACGTCGCTGCTGCTGTGAGAGACCCAGACCCAGAAGCACGTGCCTTGGGAGAAGAATGGCCAGCTGTAATTCGGTATAGCTTGGCTTTGCTGCCTAGGCGTTGGCGCAACTCCTCAGTCCTTCCTTCGCAAGAGTGGACTGATCCCAGAAGGCTACTGGAGCTTCCGCTGTACGATGGCCTCCGATGACTTCAGAGGGACATTGCCACTTCGTCCCCTTGTTGGCCTATTTGGAAAAAAAACACAAAACAATACTCCATCTTTGTAAAATACGGCAGTCTGAGAATCGGAGGCTGTTCAGGCCACAAAGAAATCCTGGCAGCGAAACCATTTTGAAACTAGTATTGTGGATAAAATGATGTCAGGGAGATAAACTACTGATGCTAGCTCATCAAAGATTGGAAACAAGGTGTTCCTGAAAGAAGATAAGAAACAAGTTTCTGAGTCCCTTTCCTGAGGTGGGCCCGGGGATGGCACAGAAAGCCGTCGGAGGGTGCCTTGCAGGTGGTCTTCCCACTGTCAGGAGTGGTGAGCAAACCCTTTGCTGGTGGTCAGACGGAGGACAGACCTCTGTGCTCAACATTGCGTCGTGTCCGAAGGTAGACCTTCAGCAGACCTGTGTATGACTGGGCTGGTCATGGCTGCTTTTTGGTTTGGGGTTTTTCATTGTGGTAAATTTCACACAAAAGGTACAATTATTGACCTTTAAGAAAAGGGCATATACATAAGAAGACACCCAATCAGAAGTTTATTTTACCCACGTCTGTGGTGCTGTCAATATTCTTCAGTGGGTTTTCATTCTCTCCTGGTTCTCTTGCTCAGGAAACTCCGAGCCACGTTAGATGAATACACGACTCGAGTGGGACAGCAAGCCATTGTCCTCTGCATCTCACCCTCCAAGCCCAACCCCGTCTTCAAAGTGTTTGGTGCAGCGCCCTTGGAGAACGTGGTGAGTGTGGCTGCGCCCTGTTCCCAGATACCTGCCCCTTGTTGTCTGACCGATGGTTCACACACCCCTCGGCCTCTGCCCAGCACGGTCCCCTCACCAAGCCTGGGAGCAGGGACTGGTGTGCAGTCCACTTTATGCACGTCAAAGTGACCGAGGCTCATGCCTGCCTCCACTGCCTAAAACAAGCTCTCTCACCTCACCAGAAGAAAGGAACTGGTCGTTCACGTTTCCTGTGAAGTGAACATGCCAAATCACAAGGCCTCGAAGACATGAGTGATTGCGGATTAGGCATCAGGCGATGTTATGGAAATATGATTTTTTGTAGCATGTCAGACAAGAGTGCCCTTATTTTTCCAAGATGCACATGGACATATTTAGACATCATGATGTCTGCAAAATACACTTTCAGTGGGTTGACCAAAAACAGGAAGAGAGAGGTATGTATGCCCGAGTGCACATATGGATGTCAGATAAAGCCATGTGTCAACATGCATAACTAACATGTCTTTGTTAGGAAGCATACAAAAAGTTCTCTGAAATATGAGTACAAGGCCATGCTGGCAAATGTGAAAGGGGTTTTGTAACCTGCAGTGATGACTTGGACGGTCGGACCATTTTATGCCATTGTTCACATCAGCTACTGGAATAAGAAGTACCTAAAATGTACACTTTTAAGCCCAGCTTCCTGTTGAAATTTTATCCTAAAACAGAAAGTTATTAACTGTTAACCCCAACACTAGGCACAGTGCTATTTAAAGTACTTTTTCTAAAAATTGAGAGTAAACCCTGTGTTCACAGGTAGGAGTCTGGCTAGATAAACATGCGGCCCAGCCATAGACAAGCCCACCGCCCAGCCAGTAAACGTGATGGTGGAGAGCCTCGATGGTCTTTGCTAAGGGAAAAGAGAAGATTATCAAGACAGACAGAAAGAGTCCCTCTTTCAAGCTCAATCTGTGTATTCTACATGCTCATGATTTCAGGGGACTGTGGTAATGAACATTATTCTCAACAAATTTGCCAGTAACTCTGAAAGGGAGATAGATCCTCGCTTTGATTTTGCAGCTGAGAATCTTAGAGAGGCTCAGTGGTCTGCCCAAGACCACTGTCCCTGCATCTTCGAACTAGGAGAGCCGGAGGTCAGCCACTGGAGATTGGCCCTCGGGGTGAGCAGAGAACTACAACTCCCATAGACTTTTCTGGGGCACTGACTGGGTGTGGGTTTCACATTTCATTTCCTTTACTCCGTGCGGATCCACCTGATGAAGGGGTGGTCTCCAGCTTCATCTCAACTCCCTCGGGGCTTCTCTCTCACGAGAGACTCCTGCAACCCCTTGCACAAACCCTGCTTCAGCCCTTGCAGCGGTTGGATCTGCTCTCCCTTACCTGATCTTCATATTATCAACTTCTGCTCACGTTTGTGATCTCAACCCGGTCAACACTACCTCTGTGAGGCCTTCTGTGACCTTCCTGGCCTGCCCAGAGCCCCTCCATTCTGCCCTAACCTCTCATGCTTTCCCTGAGCAGCTGTCACAGAAGCCGCTGTACATGTTCTGTACATTTGATTAGGTCTGCCCCGAGCTGGAGTGTAAGTTCCAAGAGGGCTGGGGCTAGGGCTGGTGTGCTCTTCATTGTCCCCAGTGCTGGCACTGCTAGTTGCTCAGCCCGAAGGGCGGAATGAACGAGGCATCTGACATGTTTGGCAGCTTCCAGAAGTTGTAAAACACAGTAAGGTCTGAGAAGTTTCACCGTGTCATTCTCTGTAGCACTTGTCCCCATTTTGTGCGTTTGTGTTTGGGATAGGCCCAGTAATCGACGCTGGGACTGCGGTCATTCTTGCCCCCCCCCCCCTTCCTAGCACAGTGTGCAACATGCATGTCGATTGGCTGGATGTCAGAATGGAGGAGCTAGCTCCCAGCTTCAGAGGCTCTCTCTGTATGTGATCTATGTTTGTAACCTGGGTGGTGAGAAAATTAGTTAAAACCAGGTGACTTTGAGAAAGAGCCTCAGGTTTCTCTAAGTTGCATGGGATCCACCACCTTCCCATCCCATGCCTTCTGACGTTGAAAAACATCACTTCTCTGGGTCTCTGCTCTTTAGGACAAAGCAAGTGTTCAGGAGCATTCTTAGTAACAGCTTTGCTCCTGGAGTAAACACAGAGTTGTCAACGCTGAGGCCCACACAGTTGGTGTTAACTGAGAGAGGCTCATGACACGAAAAACTCCACTTTTGTGAAAATTGTCTTTTTATGCCCCACGTTTTTGACATGTCCCCCCACATTGATTTTTCCCTGTCGGGGGCTGCATGTCCTCCTGTGTGAACTACAGGGGATACCAGCCCCACTGGAGAGCAGTAGGAATGAAAGTTGGTTATCATCCCCTATAGATGCTCTTTCGGGAGAGCTGGTGGGTAGTGCTGCAGACGGTAGGTTTAAAGTTGCTGTGCCCGGAGGGTGTTTCCTTGGTGGTTTGCTTCCATGTCCCACATGTTCATGAGCTCTGTGGGAAGAGGCTGGGAATGACTGTTTGGTGGGACAGAGCGAGGAGTCCCATCTTCTTTCCAGGAGGGCTGTGGGCGCTCCTGGGGGCAGTAATCCATAGCGTTCCAATGGGCACAGGCTGGCGAGGACAGAGATGACTCACTGCCAGAGGCCCAGCTAGCTGCAGGGTTTTACCTGGCTGCTTTGAAAGCTTCCCAGTCCATGGGAAGGACTCTGGGCTTGGTCTTGATTTCTTGTTTGCAGCCATTCATTTAGTTACATAGGCTTTGAAAAATGGCTTCGAGTTAAAGAACAGTGGTTCCATATTTTTAAAGGAGTAAAGTCAGCCCTATTGCTTCTCTATTTGTTTATTCAAACAGTAATCTAACACAGTCAGACGTGGAGCTGTCCGGTCTGAGAGGAGGATCCCGCTGCATTCTCTGAGGTGTCAGTGGTCACACCTGAGCAGGAGGGAGGGGGGAGCAAAACAGCTGGAGATCTGATTTGAAATTAGAAAGGAAGAGGAGGCCGACACGGGGGCCAGAGAGGGAACAGGATAAAGCCAACGAACATCAAAGGCCCGTCCTGTGCCTGGCCCTGGCCCAAGAATGTGCTAGAACCACAGTTCCGAGGGCAGCTCGCTGTGCCAACCTCAGAGGACAATGTGTTTTTAGGGTTAGAGGAACGCAGATAAAATCATATTTATCTTTTACGAATCTTCCTTAAGATTCTTACATCCGAGAAAGCTTCAGGAATCTAAAGGAATTATATGGTCTGAGGTAGAAAGAGCCATTGACCCCATGACATTGTTAGCCTGCTCCCCAATCTTCAGCCAGTACAGGCGGGGCCCAGTCCTCTAAAGGCTTCTTAAACATCCTGAGCCCTCCACTTGGAGATGGTTGGCTAACTTAGTATCTGAATATGAGAAACAGCTTGTTATGTGTGTGAAAAAATAAACACGTGAACAGCAGCCCCTCGGCATGCGCTGGCATGAATGGGGACACCTGGAAGTAATCATGCGAGTGGCCCGATGGTGAGTGTTGTCGGTAGGAGGTTAAAGGAAGGAGAGGATTATGGTGAGAACGCTTGGGAAGTCTTCTCAGGAAGTGGGAACTGGGTTGGGCCTTGGAAGACAAACGTCATTGGTGGCAGGAGAAAGACCCAGACCCAGGCAGGAATTCGCTGCTACAAAGGTTAGTGAGACGCCTGGCCAGCTACAGAGGGAAGAAGGTGGTGAGCAGAGCCATCGATGGGTCTGTGGGAACTGGGAACCATTCACGTAGACCACAATGGCGTGTAGGTGCAACCTACTCAGCTGTATCTGGAGCCCGGGTGGGGGTGGGGTGTGTGTGTGTGTGTGTGTGTGTGTGTGTGTGTGTTGATGGAATTATTGTGAGAATTAATTGACCCAGTGATGATTCTATAAGTTTGCCCTATTTTTCTTTTATCCTGTTGAACTGTGTAACTGCAAGGTCAGTGGTTTGAAACCACCAGCTGCTCCTCGAGAGAAAGATGAGGCTTTTCACTTCCATGAAGAGTCTTGGAAACCCACAGGGGCAGTTCTCCCCTGTCCAGAGGGTTGCCCTGAGTCAGATCCTACTTGATGGCAGTCAGCTTTTGTATAACTGCAGAAGTAGGGCTACGTAGCAAATGACAAGGTTTTGTTTTCCAGGCCTTGAGGGGGCTTACGGGAATCGTATGGGGCTTCGGCTAAGCTCTTGGCTGCTGCTCCAACCCCCCAGCCACTCCTCACGACGGGGGGCAGTCCCTTTCTTAAGACGGCAGCGGGGCAACCTTACGGCCGTTCTGGCTGCCCTCTAGGCTTTTGCTGAGTCAGATGGACGCAGTGGCAGGAGGGTGGAAGAATCTTCTCTCGCTCCTCATAATGAGGTACCTAGACGGCTGTGGGTCTTGATTGTGGGTCCAGTCCGTTTCAGCAAGAAGCCCTGCCCGCAAATACTGTTGGGACGCTGGCCAAACGTCAGTCTTGCCTTTTTCCTACGCGGGTGCTGTGAACCCCATCCTGCCCTGTCACAGTGCCGTAACCCCGCGGCTTCCCAGTCATCCCCAGAGGTGTCCTCAGCCCCTGCGTATTCATGAATCCCTTTCTTGGCTCCTGTATGTCACAGCGGGGGTGTGTGCACAAGTGTGAGGAGCAGAGCTAACGCACAACCTCTAGTTCAAGCCTGCAGTTGTCAGAGAGATGCAGCACCAGGAAGTACCAGAGGGAGGAGGCCTTGGTCTGTGGGGCTCCCTGTACCCCAGGCCCTGACAGCAAATGGCGCCTTTGACCCCAGGGACACACCCTGCCAAGGTTCTGATTTCTTCCAGGCAAGTTAAGCTTCAGTGCATGCCAATCTCCTTGTAAGGAGCCTCCCTTTGCAAGAAAGTAGCCACAGTTTCAAATCTCGCTCCAGAGGCTTCAGTCTTAGTTAACTGCCCCGGCCAGGTGTGTATCCTCCGGCTTGGGAAGTGCACAGGGGAAAATGCCATCACTCTGAGACCCAGGGCAGCAACCCAGGGCCAGCGTGCAGTGTTCCATAAAACTTTTTCCACCCACTCCTCTCTCCCGTTGTTGCCTGCGATTTCATCATCTCTTCATTTCACCCCACCTGGTGTGATGTCTTTGGGGCCAGCGGGTATTTTTATCTGTGAGTGTAAGTGTTTGTTCTCCAGTTGCTGCAGAGGCTCGGGTGGCCAGCCCCACCCCCTCTGGTTGCCTAGCACCCCTTCTCCCAGGTTGTAGGGCATCTTGTTTACTTCTGTCCTTAATTCCCTGCAGGTGCGTAAGTACAAGGGCATGATTCTGGAAGACTTGGAGTCAGCCCTGGCTGAACACGCCCCTGCGCCACAGGAGGTTAACTCCGAGCTGCCGCCTCTCACCATCGACGGAATTCCCGTCTCTGTGGACAAAATGACCCAGGTAAGGGGCGGGAGGGGAGGAGGCAACTCCATGGAGCCACACAGCTGGGGGCGGGCCGCCAAGCCCTTTCTCCACGCTTGGTGTCCTGGGTGGTAGCACCAGGCAGAGGCCTAGAACCACACAATGACAGGTAGTGCAGAGGCTCCCAGCCCCACATATGAAGGCCGGCCTACCAGCCCTGGGAGGCTGGGGGGAGAGGGAAAAATAGGAGTCTGGTAAATCCCTAGGAAGTACAGCAGTCAACTTCTGGTCTCTGGGGCTGAGCTGCTCCTCGCTCCGTGTAAACTTCCACACCACCACATCGTCGCCAAGTCAGGCTCTCTCCCCCAGGAAAGGGGCTGGACACTCAGTGAGTCCTTGTTCTTCCCCTGGGAAGAGGAAGTCAAGGTGTGCTGCCGAGCAATCAACATAGCACAGTCATTTTTCGGACACTGGGCTGTATTTGTTTTGTTGGTGGTGGTGGTGGGTCTCTCCTCCAACCTCCCCGCCTCACTCTAAAGGAGAAAGGCTGACTAAGGTCAAATACCCTTCTTAGAAACAACCCCCCTCCCCCTGCCCTTATTTCTCTAATTATAGTCTTCTTGTCTTGCCACATCCAGTTGTCCCTTTTCTCACCCCATTCAGTCCTCCAGCAGCATTTAGCTCATCCGATGATGGCTTCCCTCCTAAAACATTATCCTCTCTCAGTGTCCCCGGTCCCACGCTCTCCTGAATGTCTTCCCCCTCTCGGGGTGTCCCCTCTCACTCTCTCCTGCTCCCCCTTTTCCTCTTCCAGTCCCATCAGTATATTGGCGTGCTGTGGAGTTTACACCCATCTGTATGCTGGCTGCCCTCGTCTCCTATCCCTGGTAGATCCTCTACAGAGCTTGCAAGAACTTTTGATTGACACACACACACCCAGTTTTCTGGTTGTGCCCTACACACGTCTAACTCATCAGCAAGTCATGGCATGTCACCTCTGAAAGGTACCCTGAATCTGACCATTCTCCATTCCCGCCACCTCCCTAGCCTGTCGCACCTCCGGGAAACAACTCCCATACCCCCGTCTCCCCCCTCCACTCTCGTCCTGCCTGCGTGCTTTCTCCTGGGCCCTAACTGAAATCAGTTACAGCAAGCACTCCCTTCCTGAATGGCTTTCCACTCTCTTGGAATAACATCCGGACTCACTGTGGCCTTGAGGACCTGAATAACCCATTCTCTGGAGGTGGCTGTGCAGCCACATTGGCCTGCCCCCTTTTTTCAGACAGCAGCAGGCCCTTCTTCCACGTGAGCTCTCCCATATCACTGCGTGATGGGCTCACCTGTCACTCCTGATCCAATGGAATGCAGTCTCTTTCCCACTGCTCATTGCCTGGTACTCCCTACCAGAAATTGCTGGTTAGCATTTACAGCTGCTTGCCATCTATCTACACAGCTAGACTAAGAGCAGGATTTAGCTTGTGTTTTTTAAGCTGTCTCGGGGAACGGGCACCTAAAGTCGCACATAGGTGTGACCTGAATCACAGCCAGCAAGAATCAGGTGGCTCTGGTCACTCGTTTGGTTTTCACTTTGTTTATAGAATAAGTATAACCTACTCGCAAAATGATCGAATGTTTTCATATTGATTTTTTTTTTCTAGTTCAAGGTTGATATTTCTGCATTGCTTTTCCAAGGAATCCTTTTTTGTTAAGTTGATTGTATCAACAGCTCTTTAAATTTTTCTCTCAGGTAGTGGCTGCCATGTGTTGTAAGGCAAGCTTTACAAAGGATCTCATTTAATCCTTCTCCAGGCTACAGAATGGCCATTTTATGTGCAACAAAAGAGTTCAGACAAGATCTGTAGCCATAAAGGACAACATAGGATGTTTGAAAGGGACACCAAGTCTAGATTCCAGACCAAAGGGCAATCCATGACTTCCCCCGAAGTGCTGAAATTCCAGAATTGGCTAAAGGCACTGTCTGTGGGAGGACGCGGCCTCTCCGTTACTCACCTGGACTGAATGCCAGGGCGCTGACTGAGTCTTCGTGGGAGACCCTAAGTCAGACACAGCTCTAGGTATGCTCCTCAGGAGGCTCAGAATCACCCCGCAGAGTCTCTGGCTGTGTTTAGCATTGTTGTGACGTCGTGCGTTCCCTGTTTCAACACTTTACAAATTAAGCAGCATGGTTTTATTGGGAGACTACTAACATGGGCAACAGAGGGACTAGTCCCAAATCTGCTACATATTAACCATCTTCCAGCCACGCCTTGTAAAGTGAATGAAAGTTAATGAATTTGGGATTTTCATTTTGTACTGAAGCAGTGAGATGGGAAAATGCAGGAACAGCAAAAGTTGAGGCTAAATCAAGGACACCATTTGGTTGTTTTTGAAGCAAGTGGGTGAAGAACAGGAGTTCATATTGTCAGTGTTTTCTCCTTTTTTCTAGCTATAAAACTCAGCTTGAGTCTGAGTGGATCACACCAAACATTTACTGTTTCAAAAGAACTTCTTTTTTTAAAAAAGTAATTTTATTGGGGGTTCATATAACTCTTGTCACAATCCATACATGCATCTACTGTGTCAAGCACATTTGCACATTTGTTGCCCTCATCATCCTCAAAACATTTGCTTTCTACTGGAGCCTTGGCATCAGCTCCTCCTTTTTTTCCCTCCCTTCCTACTTCCCCCTCCCTCATGAACCCTTGATAATTTATAAATTATTATTATTTTATCATATCTTACCCTGTCCAACGTCTCCCTTCACCTACTTTTCTGTTGTCCATCCCCCAGGGAGGAGGTTGTATGTTGTAGATCCTTGTAATCGGTTTCCCTTCTCTACACCACCTTCCCGCCACCCTCCCAGTATTGCCACTCTCACCACTGGGCCTGAAGGGATCATCTGTCCTGGATTCCCTGTTTCCAGTTCCTATCTGTACCA